CCCCCCCCCCCCCCTCTCTCTCTCTCTCTCTTTCTCTTTCTCTTCACACAGTGCTGCTAAATGCCTCTTGCTCTCCTTTCTCTCTGTCTCGGGGCCCCTCTGTCATTCCTTGAACCAGAATTCTCAGAACTTTGTTGTTTTCTACCTCCACTCTGTTCTCCCCCTCCTGATCCAGATCTCCCCAAAAACACCAGACCTCCATCTGATCATACAGGGAAAACAAGTTGTCCTTTTCACCTTTGCCGTGAGCGTTTTGACCTACATTTGTAGCCCTGTTTTCTCTGCGCCCTCTCTTCTCTCCTCACAGTCAGAAAAAGAGGTACATCTTCTGGAGTGTTGTAGATGCAGGAATTTATTCCGCTACAATAAACTACCAGTGCTTAAGGCTGAAATGTGGCTGCGTTGCACTTGTCGGGACAAATCCATCCCTGCTTTTTAATTCGACAGATATTTCTAAAAAAGAAATCCTGTGTGGTTTTTATTTAGCCTACTACAAAGATGCTGTTGTTTTTTTGTCCGTGATTCATGTCGGGAGGTTGAATACCTACGGCGTAAATATTCAACGTGCTGCTCTGCATTCCCTTCCTCAATTACACACCAAGTGGAAGCCGTAAAACCAGACTGCCAATGGAGTCAGGGGAGATTCGTTAAGGCCTTTAATGAAGGTTTTTGCTGTTTAGCAACATTCAAGATTCCTCAAGAAGCAGGATCACTGCTGGATGACGTAAATGGTTGTTATAACCTGGAGATTATACGTACGGTGGCACAAAGTCATCAGTTGTCCTGGAACTTCACACGTAGAACATTACAGAAGATTTAAAGAAAAAGTATTCAAGCTTGTGTTTAGTTTCTCTGGCTTTTAAACATACATGCTAGGTTAATGACAGGCTCATCGTGTTCACGTGTAAATCGCTGACTGACTGTCAGTGAGAATTTGAGTGGAAACAGGTTCTTGTGTTTTGCTTGTTGTTGACTGACAACGGTTTTCTTTTTTTTTTAGGATTTAGGAACATAATTTTCTAGTTTCTCTTTCTTAACCATCGGTCATAGCTTCAAAATGTACAGACACTGAAAAAGTTTAATAAATAGTTACAAACTCAAGTTTTTTTTTCTCAACTTGTCAAACTTGGTCAAAACATGATAGTTGACACCATCACATGACCGAAGTGGGCATGGGTGGGACAGATTGACCGGGAGACATGACATTCCATCCAAATTGGTGGAAACAGTAATGACCTTAATGACCTCAGAGACATGTCAGTACAGCGGTTGGCGTAATTTGGTCGGTTTAGATTTCACAAAATTCCCTGCTGTGTTAAACTAGTAGTGCGTCGTCGCTCGTAAACGGGCGTAGTGACAACAAACAGGACGCAGCCGTGCAGGACCTGTTCTGTTGCTGCAATCTGTTAAATGCCATGGAGGCATTGTTTAGTCCAAAACAACAGATCAGTGACACTGAGAGGTTGAGGCACCAGATGCCATCGTCTTCACTGCTGTGTTGCAAACACATACAGAAACATGGGCTTTGACCTTGAAGACGTTGGTTATCGGTCAACAAGACTTGAGGACCGCTGGTTTATCAGTTACAGAGAAGACACTGGAGGTCACATGGGAAGTGGTCAGTTCACTGATTGGCTCTGTGTGTCAACCCGGAAAGAGTTTACATTTTTGACTTTTTCACAAAATCAGACGATGCCACTGAAACAGATAGAAGACAGACATATAGTGAGTTAAATGAGAAAACAAAACTGTGAGTTGGTTAAGCAAACTTACAACACTGCGCTGATTGTGACGAGTGTTTTCTTATTTGCTGTGTTCATGTGGATTACAGACCAGTTCAACAGCAGTAGCGTTAAAACCTCCCTGACTTGGGCCCACACACCATCACCTGTCAGTGCTTCCTAACCTTTTTTTGTTTGTTTGTTTTTTTGTTTTTTTGTTTTTTTGAGGTGTAAAACAATTTCCTCGGGTTTCAGTTAATGCTCACATCAGTGTTTAACTGTCAGTAGGTTTTATTGCTGCACTAACTACTGTAGAAGACCGTGCCCATGATTTATTTTTCAGATACACCATGTGTTAAGATTTTCTCTGCAAAATGTCTTAGGACAGCAGAGAAAGTCATTCGTATCCACGCTGCCCCCCCCCCCCCCCCCCCCACAAACTCAAACACACACACGTTGTGCACAGTCGATTTCTATGGTTTGCAGCTTTAGTCCTCTGACAGCTGGCAAGATAAGACACTTTTCAGATTTTTCCTTCACACACACGGCTCCCTTTCTGTCATAAAACCGTACATGCTGCTACTACTATTTCTGATGCTGCCACTGACGCTGCTGCTGCTGCTGCTGCTGGGTTACCGTTACGTTTACTATGACAAGTTAAGAGTCCTGTCGTTGCAGAATCTGCAGCAATGTTTTTTTTTCCATGATGTGTATTTTAAATAGCCGTGTAGAAATTTGACAACATTGGCTGGAATATGATAGTTCATACAGCTTGTTAATAAAACACAGTCACTGAGTAAATGTGGCAATATCCGAGTTTTGTCAGATTTTGGTTAAAACATTTTTGCTAAGATGTAAAGATGGTAAAAAGACACGCTTAAAATAAAAGTGTAAAAGTGAGACAGTAGAGTAGCTAATGATTACTTACCAAATACCTGTATAATATCAGTTTAAGTCATTGTCCTTGGAGACATTGTTTTGTCTCCTCTCCCCTAAATGCCTAAAATTCCATGATCCCGTCAGGAAGCCCAGCTTTGATTTTCCTGACAGAAGAGCGTAATATTTCATTTGACTGTATATAAATGTTATCATCCTGTATCACAGCTCTGCTTCCACTCTGTACACCATCAGTGACCAAAATAGCAACCTGACATTCACCACTTACAGAGAAAAGATCGCTGTAATAACATTATATAGTTTACTCAAGTGAAGCTGAGGCCGGATTCTGTGTGCGTGCGCGTGCGTGTGTGACGAGTAGGGACAGTGTGTAATCCATCTCCATCACTTGAGTGCCTTTCTGTCACATGACTGCTGTCACTCAAATGCTCGAGATTGAGTGTAGCGCTGCCCTCTACTGGCGGACAATGACACTGCAGATGACCCCATCATTCCCCTGCGGTTAATCTCATTAAAGCTGTGTAGATCATTATGCTACTAAAATATTGTCAGTAATATTTTAAAATAAATTTAACGCCGTATCATTAAATATTGAGTTTTTATATTGGTTTATGTTTTAAAAGATTTACATCAGTCACAGTTGTGACTGTATTGTTATTTGTCTTCTTATTGTTTTTCTGTCACGTTGCTCATGCCTAACTGCGTCACTGCGCCTCCCCCGTTTGCACCAGTCTTCATAGAAAATGTGTTGTTCTATGAATTTATCCACAATTATCTTCAGTGTGCCAGTGTGTGTGTGTGTGTATCTGTGTGTGCACATGCACACGTCCGGCCACAGAACAAGGCGTTCATTGATGCAGCCAGTGCAGCTCTGGTAGGTTTCCAGTCCAGAGTGGAGGAGACAGAAGGGGTTTTCTTTTACCATGTTTTACACGGACACAAACCTTCAGGCTCCTCTTCACTTTTCCTCAATGAAGACAGTCTGAGGAGCATCATCATCATCATCATCGTCACAGAGTCTGAGCCAAGTTGGCAATGTGAAGCAGGCGATGATTGTCCCATTCACTCATTTGCACCAGATAGTAGTCTGTCCCCATGACCAGTTCTGCTGGTGTTGACTGAAGCCTCACAGCTAAATGATGATGACATTGAGAAAATAAAATGTAGCTTCGACTGTGACCTCTGCACAGTATCACTAACTTAATGACAGTCTAATTCCAGGAGTGACTCTGCAACTGATGCTCTCTAATCTATATACAAACTCTGTTGTTTAAATGGAGCTGCCAGGCAGCAGGGGAAATAAACCCCGTAGAAGATTATTGGATCTAGTAAAAGAGGACATCAGGATGTTTTGTGTCACAGTAAAGGTGACAGTAGTTTGAGAGAGGAATTGATTTGTTGCTGCGTCCCCTTAATGGAGTACTCGAAAGGGGATGAAAAACTAAAATTTCGGTTTTTTTAATTCAATATGGATTGAAGATCCCTGTGACGTGATGCTGTTTGGCACTAATATTTTTATTTGTCTTTTTTTATTTCCTCCCCTTCCCCAAAAAAGTACTGCTTTAAAACGCAACAAAAAATATTGGATTAACAAAAGAGTTTCTTTTCAACTCTCAACTCCGTTCTAAAGAATAGATCAGCAGAGGAAGTGACTGGAATTTTCTCTATGCAGTGAGCTTTTTTTGAATCCTTCTCTTCTGATCCACATTCCCATCACATCTGCATTTTCCACCTCATCCTCTCCAGGAGCAAATGCTGCCCAATGTAGAGGAGGATGAGATTTTCCTCCCTAAGCCGATTTATATCAGCTGATAGCCCTGTCATGGAGCTGCACCCTGCAATGAATGAATGAATGAAAGAATGAATAGGAGGATGAGGAAAAAGGCAGTAAGAGAATGGTGGCAAACACAGCTGTGAGCTAAAGCATTAATATCCATTTTAGAGCTAATGGATATTGAGGGTTTAAAGGATACTGTACGAGTGGTTTTGTCAGGTTGGTGACCGTGAGTTACAGTAACTGATGATAGAGAAAAAGAGAAAGTGAAGAGAAAAAGGAGAGGCTGTTGTGTGAAGGCTCAAGTGGAGATGGGTGTAAAAGGTCACAAAGAAGGAGACGTAGGAGATGGTGGATGAATACTAAGATGAAGGTAGATGATGGGGGTTGGGGGGGGGGGGGGAGGGGGGGGGGGGGGAAGGGGGGGGGGGGGAGGGGGGGGGGGGGGAAGGGGGGGGGGGGGAGGGGGGGGGGGGGGAAGGGATGAGGATGAAGGAGAGAGGAACAAATGTCACATATGTTACCACACAGAGAGAAATGGCTGAATCCAGCTCTTTAATGGGAAACGTGGATGTGCCATGTATCTGTCAGCTTTGGCGATGTGATAAATGTACGGTATCGTAACCTCCTGCATTATTCTGCGACAGGAAATAGATTAAAATCAGAAAGACGAGACACACAACTAGAAATTTACATATATTAAACGTTCTTTAAATCAAGGCCAAATGGTTCATTGAGATATTTTTTCATCTATTAAATCATCCATGATTTGACTGATTTATGGTCCAGAAGTGAATCAAACAAAACAAGTGAAATCTTAATGGTACATTGAAGATGCTATGCTAACATTTAGATATTTTATTGATTGTAAATGTGGCGTCTCGTGGTCTCACTTTTGTCTCCTCCTCCTCCCACAGCTGGAGAAACTTCTGCTGACTCCTCCCAACGTGCCCACAGGCAACGATGCCCACAAGGATGGAGTGCACAGCCAACGTTACGGCAGCAGAAGCCTGCAGCTGCGGGCAGTCAGACCTCTGGTCAAGGTGAGTCAAAGTTAGCGATGAAAAGATGTCAGTGACATTTGTCCTGTTTCCATTAAAGGGCAGCTTCATGTAGCGGGGCAAGAGTTAGAAAACTAAATCCCGCAGTGAAAGTTCTTGACTCTTTTTCTAGTTTTCTTTGCAGGATTTTAAGTAGATGTGACGCAGTTGCACACACACACACACACACACACATACACACACCTCCCTGTTTGCACTGCCTTCCTCTGTCCCTGTGTCTTTTGAGGGCTGGAGAGATAATAAAATTGGATTCCTTAAATCACTTTCCCTCCAAGGTGTGGAGTTAAGGCTGAAGTAATTCAGTCCCACACGCAGGAGCCTGGACTCAGTGTCTGTAACAGAGCTGCTGCACGAGTTCTTCTTTATACAAGTGAAAATACTTGTTTTTCTCAGGCTGGACTCAAATATACACAGAATAGATATTGGCATTTAATAATAAAATATTAAAATCTCTACAAACATCTGAGACTAAGAAACCACTGTACAGTGTTCCCCAACCATGTCATGCCTTGAGTTTTTTACACGCTACAGCAGAGTTTATTAATGGCTGCAGTTTGCTGTCAAAGGTACTGCAGTTTCTTTCGAGCCTCAGCCACTAAACACTCACAAAACAAAGTTTGTTTGTAAGAAATTCTGTGGGGAAATAGGCCAACTTTAATCTGATTAATGACATCAGTAAACATCTCTGTGAAGATTAACTTAATTAAACCCAAACTGGGAATTCAAATGTCACGTCAGTTTGGTACGTTTAAAGTTGGGCGCTGTACACAGAAGACGGCTTTGTTTACATTTGCAGGTTGTATAAATAAATATATAGTATATTAATAATAGCATTGACAAAATGCAGACAAAACTTTTTTTTTTTTTGAGAATGAATCCAGAAGGACTTGTGATTCTCAGGGCATAGAGTTTACAGTAACTTAGAGATAAACCAGCAGAGCTTCCTGAGGTCCAGCAGCCACGGTTTAACCTTCCCGCTGACAGTATTTATATTACACTGTGATATATTTTTGATTGTAGAATAAAAGCTCTGTGGAATCTTAGTGGATACACTGCTGCTGCTGCTGCTGCTGCTGCTGCTGCTGCTGCTGCTGCTGCTGCTGATGATGATGATGATGATGCCACCACCCTGTATGACAGAGGCAGTGTGGGTGTAAAGTGGACAGTTACACTGCTTCACTGCTGTGTGACTTAGCAGTAATTGGATAGCTGCTAGCATTGTGTGTCAAGTGGCCATTGATTACAGTAGCAGTCGTTTATCTTGCACAGGCATAAAGCAGGTTTAAGTCTTTAAGTCCTGGCTGAAAAAAAAGAGAAGGTTACAAAATACACAGTGGCTGTAGCAGCACAGGGAGACTGTATTCATCACACACACACACACACACACACACATTCACATTGATTCTCTGTTCACATGGCGATGTGTGTGTGTGTGTGTGTGTGTCTGTGAGTCTTAGTTTTTGAGTCGCGTGACTCTGCTGTGACAGATGGCAGCAGTGTTGACTGACAGGGTGAGAGTCTCCCTCCTTTTCTCTCTGTGTCTGTAACACAGAATCAGTCATTTCGACACAGCTGCACAGTGAATCCTTCCAAACATTGTCAGAAACAAATTTTACTGCTGGAGGCTCATGATTTCTGAATCCAGGGCAGGGAAGTGAACAAGCAATCATCCGTTCGTAAACACTGGTGTCAGGAAATTCCACGTCCAATTTCCCAACATCACTGCAGTATAATGTTCCATTTCCAGGGGATTTGAAAAAAAAATAAAATTATTTGATACATACATTTATGTAGTCATGTTGTGCAGTCAAACACAGCACAACATTTCATATTTCCAGTGACAACCAAGTACTCTTATCCACCAAAGAGGGCACTGCAGAAGACATTTGGGAACCACTGGTTTACAGAACCCTGACACATCAGTAGAAGCTAAAGTGCATGTGGTCCAAAGAGTTAGAGAAGAAGAATGTGGATTTAAGTAAATCAATCAATTAAAAAAATAATGTATTTTCAAACTTACATAGGTTTGAATGAGACACTCATTTAAAAATGTCATCGTAGAATAATAATAAAAAAATCACGTAGTGTATAGTGAAGGTGTGAGGCTTTATGTAGATTTTTTCAGTGTTTGCTTCTTCTGAAAACTCAGCAGTTTAGGTGTAGCCTCCGGCTGCTGTTACCACTCTTTTTTTTTTCTTCTCTGCCCTCAGACTGACTTCCCTCAGGTGCGCAAAACTCGGGCGGTGCGTCCGGCGGGGCATCTCTGCACCGAGCTCCACAGACACCTCACCACCGCCCAGGATGCAGAGGACGTCCCTGACCCCGACACAGAGGAGGATGAGGAGGACGAGGAAGATGGGGACAGTGATTCGGAGGAGGATGAGGAGGAAGAGGAGGAGTCTTCCAGTAGCGAGGTAGAGGGCGCCGCGGTGCCGGTCGCTGTCCCTGCTGAGCCACTGAAGCCTCAGTTCAGCTCAGAGAAAGAGCTGCACTCAGTGGTGGGGCTCATCACCTACATGCACACCTACTGCCTGCCCATGAGAAAGCAGCAGGGCTGGGAACGCAAGGATCGTGACTTGTCCAGGTCCAGGACCAGACCTGAGGCCTCTCGCCCACCTGCCACAAACTCTGTCAGTAGAGTTGTTTTAGTGTCCACTCCTGGGACCAATGTGGGCATTGCTGGGACGAGCAATAGCGCCCCCAAGAGGCTTCCCTTTGCAAAGCAGAGGGAGATGAAGGCCAACTCGGTTCTTCGTGAACTCCTGCAGCTGAGCAGCTCTTTCGATGTGAGCAAGCCTTACAGACTGCATAGCCCACCTTACTCCCACTCCCGCAGCCCAAACAAAGGAGTAGCTGCTCCTTCTACCAAACCACACTTTACCCACTCCCCAAACTCCACCACCTTAAAGTCAGAGCTTGGTAAAAACTCTTATTCCCCAGAGAGAGGTAAATACGACTCTGAGGCTCCTCAGAGAGCAGAGGAGCCTGCCGAGGACAACGGCTCCTTCTCCGTTCGACGTTCCAGACGTTTGGCCTCCTTCCCCAGTCGCTTTGGTAAAAGACGACCTGTGAGGCTGAGGGAAACAGGGAGCAAGGACAGGCACGAGCAGGAGGAGATCAAAGTTCTGCCAACCCAAGCTGGAGGTGGAACCACGGCAGAGGTTCGAGCAGGGCAGCCGGTGCACAGCGATGGCAGCAATGTTGCCACTGAGCCAACCATTCCCTGCTGCCACAATGGTGAGGCCAGATCTGGGTTGGGTTTGTTCGTATCTGTTAGTGTCATAATGTCGACAGTGTCTTTTTCCTCCTTTTTTTCCTCCCATTCAAATGCATGTGTCTGCAGTCAAAAACATGCATTGGTTTACATATGAATACAGTGTATATCTTGTTAAAATACTTATACTAATAATGCGATTGTACTCTCATTATCTTTCCACAAAGTCCAAAAATTACAGTGATCACACAGATCTGGCATGTATCAGTGTCAGCTCCCTGGTTAAAATCCCAACCCATTATATTTTCCTTTTTTTATCTTTTAAATCAATCTGATTTTCCATTTTCATCATCCTCTGCTAACGTTGTCTCAGTCACGCTGCTGTGTCACTTATGACAGATATTACAAGAAAAGCTGCCAAAATTGCTCCATGCCCTGAGAGATGTGATTATACTTTTGTTATACAAGTCAAAAATGCTGGTTCTAAATGGGCCTGTCACTCTGATTGCAGAAAAGCGAGCTTGCCTCTGCTTGCCTCTGAACCCCAAGTCCACAGGGTGAGTATTTCTACGTAAAGCGCACGCTAGCAGCTGTGTTTCATCACACAGCGGAGCTTGGTTAAAGGTCTCTGCATCAGCACTGCAATAAATGTTGAGCAAAGCAGGAGCTGTCTCTTATTAATAATGTGTTAGCAAATCCTGCAGCAGGGATTAGACAAAAGGTGTGATAATAACACTGCTACCATCGAATACCATGGTACCAAATAGAAACATATTTCTTTGTAAAGTAATGTAGATTTATTTTTAGGGCTAATCTAAATAATAAAGGGAATTAATATATATCAACAAATAAGGTAGCAAGGTATATTTTATTATTTTTATATTCTTTTCTAACTGTTACTAGTTGCTGTTGCAACTGATGTCACTCTCCTTACTCTACTATGTCCAGTATTAATATCACATAGGAAATTAATATTACCAATTTTTTTAAAATACTCAGAACAGGGTTCTGTATATTTTTTTTATTTAAGTTACATTTCCTGACAGGAACTGCTATCAAAGGTTTTATTAAATACAGTATATTATGTAACATCAACTGATTTTCATATGCTGAGAGTAATTCTCAAAGAAATACATTAGGACAAGATATATTAATAGAAGCCGTGTGCACAGAAACGTGCAAGAGAAGTGCAAGGGAATATTGTCTAACATAAGGCTGAATATCTGTTTTAATCTTAATCATTTTTAAACATAGCAATCATAGTTATTGACAGTTACTTTGTCAACTATTATAAAATCTGGCAATAGACCATAATTCATTGGGAATTTGTCACTGGTGATAATGCTAACGACACCAGAATGTATATCTCAAATATCTCACATGCGTCTGTAACACTTGGCTGCCCCTCGTCAGTTCATTCTGCCCCA